GCAGGAAAATGACTGAGGAAAACCCATGGATGTTCCACTGCCATCAACTCAAGGAACTTCAGGGCCTTCTCTGAAGCACACTATTTTTTTTATTGTCTTAGCAGACAAGTATAATTTATCTGTAATTGCTTGACATTGATGATTTTTTATTTTTTTTTTGGTGATAGACAGGACTAAAATAGGAGTGAGGTGCCGTAGGATCCTACTTCCAACTCACAGGAACCTCTGAGGTTCCAGTGCTTTTGTGGTGATTTGTTTGGGTGTTTTTTTTATTAAGCTGTTTGTGGACAGGAAAAAAAAAAACCCAGTACCCCAGTGTGGCTCAGACCACAGGCTGTTTTGAGGGTGGTTTTGTTTGGGTTTGGTTTTTCTTTTCCCTTTCTTTCTGTGGTCTGTGGCTGAAGCATTTCAAGAGAGAATCCAGTTGAGGGGGATCTCTGAACAGTGTGACTGTTCTGTGTGTGGGCTGTATTGCTCTGGAGCCCCTGAGAGTGTGTGTCTGTGGGGTTCATGACCTAAAAGCAGAAAACTGGGTAGTACTTAAACCATTTCCAGTATTATCCATGTTCTAGAGTTTTTCTGAGTTTTGTTTGGGTTTTTTTTGGACCCACAAGGAGGGAGTGTGTAGCAGCGTGGCATAAACAATGTGAATATCTGGAGCTGTCCTTCCTGGACCGTGCTCAAAGTGTAGGTGTGGAGATGTGCGTCCTGAGGATGAGCACGTGGAGTGATTGTAGAATTCTGAAAAACTGGTGTGTAAGAGTAGATTTTGTTACTTTTTCCTTGGGATTCTTCATGTTCTCACAGCTGTTTTGGGGAAGGTGTAAAGATCTTTCTCAGTAGGTGTTGCAACAAACACAGTTATTAGACTGTATTTGCATTCCTGTTTGCTTGTTGGCTTTATCTTTTCTAGTTGGTGGAAGCAGACTTCCTTTTCCTGTAGTCCATGATATTTCTTTATCTGTCCTTGGAAACAGTCCTCCTGAAAAGCCTGGACTTCTAAAATCCAGCTTTACCTTTAGCAGGAGTGTCCTTTTGGTACTTTGTAGATGATTTCAGATATATTGTAGGAATCTTAAAATGGATAAGAGGCAGGAAAATAGCAGAGCTGCACGAGTGTTTATAAAAATTTTGCTTTGTAAATTAAAAAAAAAAATATATAGAAAATGCTCAGGGGTTCAGAGGAAAATACATTGCTGCGTTGTCCTGAGGATATCTTAAAGGGATTTGCTGTGAGGTTGTTGTGCAGCTGTGGAAATCTCCAGGCTTCTCTGGAGTCCTGTGGGGAGGTTTCCCCCTCGTTCAGCAGGAATTTGGTGCAGGTTTTGCTTTTTGCCCTTGGCTTCGTGCGGGGGCAGCGGCAGGAGAGCGATGGCCAACGATGGGCCTGGCTCGGGAGCCGTGGACGGGATCCTCCCAGCTCTTGCAGCTTTCAGGGTTTGACTCCTGATAGACCTCTGCTCCAAGAGGGTAGGAACTTACCTCCAGTCAAAGGGTGTAGGAACCTTGGAAGGCAGACACTTTGTGAAATGGAATGGACTAATATTTGTACGAGAAGCAGAACCGCACATCAAAGGGTGTAGGAACCTTGGAAGGCAGACAATTTGTGAAATGGAATGGACTAATATTTGCACAAGAAGCAGAACCGCACACGCCAGAAGCCTGTTCCAGGTCTATTTTTGTTTTCAGCTTGTTTTCTATGGAAGTAAAAACTTGTGGGTGGAAGAGTGTGTAGGGCGAGGGTTTGTTTTGAGAGGAGCTGTGTTGATTTTATTAGTCCAGCACTAAACCAGGAGCCGTGGTTCTGCCGTGGGGCTGACTGCATGAGGCAGGTCCTTCAGGGGGGCAGCCACTGCTTTTCCTCTTGGTCTGAGGTTGCCCCTGTTGAGCTGTGAGCCCCCCCAGCTCCCAGGCCGTGTGTGCCCTCCTGATAGAGGGGATGGGGTGGGCACCACTGAAACCAGTCACATCCTTCTCTTCACAAGGGTGAGAACTTGCTGCCCCACAGGCACATACCAAGCCCTGCCCCAGGCCCCCAGAGAGGGTGTGAGTAGCATGAAATGATCAATTTGAGTTGACATAATGCTGCAAAGCTTAACCTTCCCCCACCCCGGTAGCCTCACACCTACTGCTCTGTTCATTGCTCCTTTTTCCTTCAAATCAGGAGGAAAAAGAGCAGGTAACTGGCAGTGAAAAATATGCCATGGCCCTGACGCTGCGCTTCTGTGTGTGGAAGGAGCCGGAGGGCAAAGGGCTGCATCCATTGGTGTGAAGGTGCATGAAATATCCCAGCTTCTGCTTGTCTCCTGCCACCTGCCTCTAGGTCTCCCCACTTTAAATGCACGAGCGGCGCAGGAGCCGGCAGCTGCAGCACAGCGGGAGGACAAATAAACAACCCTACAAATGATGCCAGGTCAAGGGGAACGAGAGCTGAAAAATCCCCATAAACTGTAGGTTCCCAGAAACCAAAAGCTGTGGTGTTGAGAAAATATTTATCCTTCTTGTTGAATTAAAACATGGGTGAATTTGGGTTCTGAGGCTTGTTACAGTTCTATCATTCAAACAGTCCAAGTTGTCTGGAGTTGCATAAGATGTGAGGAAGGGTAAGGAAACAGTTTCAGGTCCTGTTTATAAAATATTTAATAGTGAAAGTAAAGAGCCACCTGTGTAGGTGTGTGTTCTGTTACACGCGCCTGCCAGCTGCTCTGATTTCCTTTTGCTGTAAGTGTTAAACAGCCCTTTTGAAGAATGGAAATGGAATAAAACAACATGATTGAATATTTAATAATTTAAGCTGTGTAGAACGTGTGCACAGATTGACCTTGGGTTTCTTCTTTCACTTTGGTACAAAGCTGTGAGCGTAATAACAAAACTTTACACAGCAAAAAAAGAAGGAAAAAAAAAAAAAACCAAAAGAAAAATAAAAGTTCTTTATATTGTTATGGTTTGTCAGTCTGGTTCTTTTTTGTTTTGAACAGAATGATTCCTTCACAGGATTTGGTAGAACTTGACTTTGTTCTGGATTTTTGTCCTTTAAGAGGATGGGCCACTTGGAAGCTCCAGCAGGGGCAGGAACGCTGCAGGTCTTTCCTCCCCACGGGGGGGGGGAATCTCAGCTGAAAATGGAAACTGTCCACCTGGCTGGTGCCACCACGGTGACCCACTGACCCACCTGCTCCACGGCCCCCTGCAAAGGGAAGCTCTCTAGAGCTTTGGTAGTTCACTCACCAGGACTTTAAGGACCAGTTTTGAGTTGCCAATCAAAAATCCTGATTTTGGTCTCTTGACTGATAGATTTTGTTTTTCTCTGAACACCCTCCCCATTTTTTTGATGGAAAATAATAGCTGAGTGGAGAGAACACATGGCTGGAGCCCAGGGCTCTTCTTGTTCCAGTCATCCTAAAACCTTGATTTGGGTTGAGAACACATGGCTGGAGCCCAGGGCTCTTCCTGTTCCAGTCATCCTAAAACTTTGATTTGGGTTAAAACAAAAGTTGAATTTAAAGGAGAATAACTCTTCTTTAGATAAACTATAGAATTTTCTTACTCCTAAGTTTTCTGTTTCTTAGTGGCCTTTTAAAAGTTGAATTTAAAGGAGAATAACTCTTCTACAGGTAAACTATAGAATTTTCTTACTCCTAAGTTTTCTGTTTCTTAGTGGCCTTTCAGTTAAACGTGCTTCTTACCAGAATACCTCTCAGTGGATGCTGTGGTTTGTTATTACAGTTTTGCTTCACAGCAGTGGATTGTTTTGTTACTTTTCACTGGTAGAGAACCAAGTAGAAGGTTCTTCTGGCCAAGTCTGGTCTCTTCACACCCTGTCTTCCACATTTTGTTTTTCCTTTTGTTTTTATATTGATCAACACTTCACCTGTTCTGAAACGCTGTCGTCCTTAAAGCTGGTAACGATGGAGCTCTCAAACTCAAGGGCTTCATATTTTTAAAGCATTCAAGGAGCAAAGGGGTAAGTGTTTGAGATATTAAGCTGATTCCATGCTTGCCATAAACCTCCAGAAGCGGCTGGATATTCAGGAGAACGATGGAAACATTCTCAATGTTTCATCCTCCTGTTTTTTTCATAAAAATAAAAACCACCCCTAAACTTTAGGCCAAAATCCAGTTGATTTTATTTTTGTTCAATTAAACTAATTGAACGTACACGTTCTAATAATCTTCCCAAAGCTGTCATGCTGACATAGAGTCTGATTCTGCTACAAGTCACTTCTTACAATAAAGAAATACACAATCCTGGCAGGAAACAGGACCCGGGGTGGGGTGAAGTGTGTGTGTGAATATATATTTGTGTATGTGTGTACAGAGGTTTTCTGTCCCGAGTGGCAAACACCTTTCTTGATATTACAGAGAATGCAGCGACTCTAAAACACATGTAAAATGTCCAGTGTGTAACTAAGATACTCTGGGGGTACTCAAAATGAGGCCAAATTGCTCAGTTTGATGCTTTTGGTGCTGGGGGCTGTGGTGCCCTATGGCCACATCTACAGCAGCAGAGGGGATGGGGACATGTCGTATCAATGTCACCCAGCATGGTCTCGCGTCAAATATTCAATCAACATGATGAAGAGGCTGAAATGGATGGTATCAAAAGCAGGACAAAGACTTAATGACTAATGACAAGGTGGTGGTAACCACCTCTGACTTTCACAGTTCAAATCCAGTCCCAGCTTGGCCTGACTTGAGGGAAGGCTTTTCCAGGCGTCAGCACAATAACCCGTGTACGCTCCGTGTCGTTGCCACACAGAAAAAGCTTAATTCAGTCATCAATAAATTAATCCTTGTTGCCTGAGAGAAAATGTCAGGGAGTTACAAAAGCAGTTACAGAAGGTGGGCACTGCTCTGTCTGCTGGAGTAGGGTTCTCTTTTTCCCAGGGATCCTTCCCAGGCGCTGTTTATCTCGGCGAGTGAAGCACCTAATTAGGAAATGCTCGTTTGCGCTGATGAATGAAGCAGAAGGTGGGCACTGCTCTGTCTGCCGGAGTAGGGTTCTCTTTTTCCCAGGGATCCTTCCCAGGCGCTGTTTATCTCGGCGAGTGAAGCACCTAATTAGGAAATGCTCGTTTGCGCTGGGGATGAATGAAGCTTGTGGCCCAAAACGGACGCCTTGAGCGTTGTCTCGCTGAAGGTGGGCTCTGGGGCCGGTGTCACGCGTACATCGTGAGCTGCAGCCACTGAAAGGAGTCAGAATTAGATGCTGAAGGACCTGTTGGCCTCCTCCAACAAACCCTACCCAGCCTGGAAGGCAGCTGCTCGCTGAGGCACAGGGGCAATGGGGAACAGTGTCCAAGGCCTCTTGCTCCTGTTCCTCCTTCCCTTGCAAGAAGTGAAGGGTTTTTTTGTGGTCTCCCAGCAGAAGACATGCTTTTAAGTTGAAACTTTCTAAGTCTTCTTAATCAGATTTATGAAAAGGTCAATAACTATGGTAGGCTCCATTATCAGCCGATGCCTTTAAACTAAAGTATGTTTGATTTAAATTGCCTCATAAAAAAAAACCCTCAGGGCTTTTTTTGAAGCGCTTTAAAGATGATCTGAGGAGTCTGCAGTTGTGCCTGTCAGCACCAACTGGAGTCTCTTGCAGAGCAGCTCTTGTTGGCAGATCATGGATACACGTGTTTTCTGTGTAAAATACTTAGCAAAATTTTTAGAAGGTTTTGTGGACTCTTAACACTTGGATGACAATTTAATAGGAACTCTTGTAGGCTCCCTTGAGAATGTGAACAATGAATAATACAAATGAAATCTAGTGTTGTGGCTTTGTGTTAGAAATACTGGCATAAAGCAATTTACCTCCAGGACGTTGAGCTTAATGATGCCATCTCCATCTTTATCAAAGGCGTGGAATGCTCCTAAAGCAAGGAAACAAAAGTGTATGGAGTGGATTAAACTACATAAATCAGCATAAATAAATAAATCAGCAAGGATTTCTGCCATGTTTTTCCTTATCTAGCTGGACCAATGGGCCGAGGCCAATGGGATGAGGTTCAACGAGGCCAAGTGCCGGGTCCTGCACTTGGGTCACAACAACCTCGTGCAGCGCCACAGGCTGGGGGCAGAGTGGCTGGAGCTGCCTGGCAGAAAAGGACCTGGGGTGTTGGTCGATGGCCAGCTCAACATGAGCCAGCAGTGTGCCCAGGTGGCCAAGAAGGCCAATGGCATCCTGGCCTGTATCAAAAATAGTGTGGCCAGCAAGAGTAGGGAAGTGATTGTCCCCCTGTACTCGGCACTGGTGAGGCCACACCTTGAGTTCTGTGTCCAGTTTTGGGCACCTCACTACAAGAAAGACATTGAGGAGCTGGCCCATGTCTAGAGAAGGGCAACAAAGCTGGTGAGGAGTTCAGAGCACACATCTTATGAGGAGAGGCTGAGGGAGCTGGGATTGTTCAGCCTGGAGAAAAGGAGGCTGAAGGGGAGACCTTATTGCTCTCTACAACTACCTGAAATAAGAGTGTGGAGAGGTGGGGTTTGGTCTCTTCTCCTAAAGTAATAAGCAATAGGACAAGAGGAAATGGTCTCAAATTGTGTCAGGGGAGGTTCAGATTGGATATTAGGAAAACTTTCTTTACAGAAAGGGTTATTAAGCATTGGAACAGGCTGTCTGGGGAAGTGGTGGAATCATCTTCTCTGGAGGTATTTAAAAGACGGGTAGACGTGGTGCTGAGGGACATGGTTTGGTGGTGGTTTTGGGATTCTACCAGTGTTAAGTCAATGGCTGGACTCGATTATCTTAAAGGTCCCTTCCAACCTAGATGGTTCTATGATTCTTTTCTATAATAGAAATGCAATGGCGTATTTTCTTTTGTGTTTGTCTAGGATGGCTGTCACATTACAGGTTCTCTAAGGACATTAATTATTAAAAGTACATGCAGGCAGCAGTGCTGGAGTCCAGCAGTGCGTGTCGGGGGCGAGGAGGGCCGGGGCAGCACTCACTGAACATGGCGTCCAGGCGCACGAAGCAGCAGATGAAGCTGTCGAAGTCGATGTTCATGTTCTTGTCGGCGTAGCGCATGGTGATGATGTCGTAGAGCTGGTTGTTCAACCGAAACCCTGCAAAGGACCAGAAAGGGGGCTCAGCTGGGCTGCAGGCCAAGGGGCAAGCACCAGTGCTGGTCAGGCCTCCAGGAGAGGTTTGGCCACAGGAGCTCCCCGGGCCCAGCCGTGGAAGCTGCGGCCTCTGGATGAAAGGAAGTGAAGATACAAGGAGCTTCCTTGTGTCCAGCTGCTTTCTTAAACCAGGAGTAACGTTTTGAAACTGTGATTTCGGAGGGCCAGTAGCACATGAGTTACCCCACGCCGTAAGCACGGAGAGGCCTGCACCAAAGATTTTGCAGCTCAGCTGAGCCTGATGGGAGCAAAGCCACAAAAACTGGGTGACAGAAATGTAGGAGGAAGCTGCTGCGAAAAAAAATAATTACAAAATGGTCAAAAAATAGATGAGGTAATTCCTCAGTATGGCATTGCCAAACCACAGCACTGACCTGCTGCAGCTCCACAAAGGGACGGCTGCGATTTGGGTGCTGGTGGTTCTTGGCTAAATGCAAGGTCAGGGACAGGCTATGGGCTGTAAGACTGAGATGTTTTTATTGCAAAATGTGTTCTTAGTTCTCAAGTCAGAGCAGGGGAGGTAATTAAATGATTTTATATTTATTTTTTTTTTACATTGAAAACTTTCTTGGTGAGAACAAAAACCCAGAAAATAAGAATGATCCATATTTCTACTTCAGCAGGAGTCCAAACCCAGGTGTAAGTTTGTCCTTAACGAAGGATCAAATCAGCTTTTCTGATTAAAGAAGCCATTTGCTCCCTGAGAGAAGCAGCAGCTGGGGAAGCCCCCTGTTGGGGAAGCCTGCTCTCCAGGGAGAGGAGCACACCAAAGGGCTTGAGACAAGAAGCAAGAAAAGTCAAAAGCCTCTCTTTGCAGAATGAGTTTCATTAACTGCAACTTTTGCAAAAATACTTTCTTCTTGGTGTGCAGGTAGGAGACTGAGCCTACAGTGGCTTTAGTGACGCTAAGAAACACACACAGGACTCAAGAAATGACCATCCAGTTGCCTCTGATTCAAACTGGGACATTAACCTGCTCTGCCTGGGTTTTTGTGCCTGTACACTTGGATTGAAGGTTTTCCACTGTTCATTGATTGTTCCTTACACAAACATAAAGAATCCACAGCTTAAATGAAATCAAATGTCTGCAGCACTCCCTGAAGAGCAGGACCCCAAGTGCAAGATCCTTAAGGCAGCAGAGCCTCATTCACTGGAAAATTTAAAGAGCTGAAGAGAACTATTTGGTTGGTAAGACATACAAGACTTGCCATTTAGATATTTGAGAAGCTCTGTTGGGGGGAAAAAAAGGATTTTTGAATTTCTATGGGGTCTCTTTAAAAGGCTGCACTGCATTCCTGATTTCACCTGCGACAGATCAACCAAAATAAGGTTCCTTTGGCTGTTGGGCACTGACCACCGGGGGAAGTACCTGCGTCATTGACCGCATTGCGCATCTCGTAGCTGTTAATGGTTCCTGAGTGATCTGTGTCGTAACGCTTGAAAATTTTCTGGAAAAACAAACAAACAAAAAATAAATACACATGAAAAAGAAAAGCTGGTCCTTCTGTTGAATGTACCCAGCGAGTGGGTGTGGGGTGTGAGGCTCAGGCCCTTGGAGGCTTTGCCGTCTGCCTGGCATTGCTGCTGCCGGGCTGGTACCACAGAGCTCCGCTCAGTCACAAAGTAAAATAATTTAGATCCATGCTGTAAGAAGCAAAAAGCTCCCCCCTAGAGACTCTCCTTGTTTAATTTGAGTTTATGCTGTTAATGGTCTCTCTTGATTGTCCTAATTAAGCTATCTGTGAGCCCTTAATTTAGTTACCACCACCACCTTCCTCCAATTTGTGTGCCTCCCTGCTAGTCTCATGGGGGAAGTCTTCACACAAGTGCTGGAGCTTCAGAGATTCAGGCTATTTGCTCAGGTTGTGAGTAGGAGAGGAAAGACATTCCTTTTCTTTTTAGAAGCTAATTTTCAGTATTTTAGGTTTTCTTTTTGTTATACTGTATGTAGAGAGGTATGGCTTTACTACATCAGCTTTTGTGCTCCAGAAGCTGTGAATACCAGGCTGTGAATACCAGCAATACCTGCCAGCTTTTAATCTTGTCCCAGAGGTGTCGAAATTCATCGAAGTTTATCTTCCCCGAGCCGTCTGTCTGGGATGCAAACATTCAGGTAAAAATACCACAATATTTTTAAGATAAAATTAATTAAGTTTTCAGCTACTGGTGAAGGGATGAATGCGAAACTGAGTTCAGGATCTCCTTGGTGTTACGAGCTGGCTGAGCTACTGAGTGAAATATTTGTGACCATTTTGGTTATTGTTCATAGTATTTTGTTTCAGGAGTGTGAAGAACTATTTGTACTTTGTGTAGAAGCAAACATCTGGTACAGGAGAGAGGTTTGCTCCTGCTGCTATTATAAAGTATGTGAACAGGATGTTTTAGTGGGCTCTTTCCAAATACCTCCAAATGTGGAATGTCCTCAACGTTTTTAACTGAATTTATTCCTAGAATGAAGCTCTTTCTGTCTTGCTTAAAATGAACTGAGAACTAAGCAAAATGGTGACTAAAGCCACTTAAAAAAATGTGTTTAGGCTCCAACTATTATGGCTCTGGGTTGTCGTTACAGTTTTGTTCTGGTTATGTTTGAGTGCACTTTTGTTGTCTCAAAATCATGGATTATGTCAAGTAGGGAAACTGAGGGATGTTGTACCAGAGGTACCCCCTATGGCATCTCGTCGTGTGTTTCCTTGTACTTGCTGTAAGACAATTTCTGTATGTGTTGCATGCTAAGCACACAGTGGAATGTATAATACATATAAACTTAGAAATAAGAGAGAAATATGGTGAAGTTCCTTGGCAAGAACTGTAGTTATGTTGAGTTGGTTTAAAATAAAAATCCTGCTTTAGTACCTGAGCTGGCTGGTTGCTGATACCTAAGGAAGGATATGGATAAGGATAAGGACTGACTCATCCTGTAGTTCTCTGTTTTGAGATATTTTCATCTGCCACCTACGCTAATGTTGAGATGACTGGAGTTGAGCTGTGCCAAACCAGGACTGCTGTTTTATCTGACTAAGGTCTATAATGTCCTGTTCTCCTGCCCTGTGTGGGAGCTCTGTGTGTGTCTGGTGGTGGGAAATACAACCCAAGTGGACTAGTGGGGTATCAAGCACCCCCTTTCCCCAGAAAAGGATACATCCATTAAAGCAATCATGCTGCGGCAGGATTCCAGTTCAAATCCTTCTGTCTTTAGGTCCTTATCTGAAATAAATGATTCCAGGTGAAAACAGGTCGTGCAAGGCAGCAAGTTCTTCTTCCTCTTAGGTGTAATTCTACTCAAAGGAGAAGCCAAACCTACTTCCTTCATCCAGTAAGAAAAGAATAGTAGAGAAATCTGAACAGACTCTAACATTATTGCTTGTGAGTTAGAGATGACTTTTGTTGACCTGTAATATACAATGAAAAACCTCTGGAAACTTCTAAACCAACTTCCAGGTAACTAAGCAAGCCCAGGGCCTGTAAGCTAAAGTTTGCTAAACAGGGAGAAAAAACAGCCTCTCCGTTAGAACTTTTTCTTTTAAAGGGCATTTGCAGACAGCTTGAAATGCTGTATGATCCCCTGTGGTGCTGCCAATGAACTTTTGCTCATTTCTGCACTATCACGACTTGACCACTCCTACAGAACATCTCTATGAACAGTTCAGCTCCCTAAAGTCTTGGCTTCAAAGTCTCTGGAAGTGTAACTAGGAATTTTGTGAGGCTGAAACCTTAAAAATCTT